AAAATGATTGTTGTAATTTTTTTCTGGTTAAGTGATGTCTTATGTAAATTAGAGAAAACATAAATCTGTTCCATTAAAGCAAGGAAGATGATAGAAAGTGGATAAAATGAAAACTACATTTATTTAACTCGGTACTGTCTTTATTATACCGGGTGCGTCCCAAAAGTGGCTCATCCCCATAATTTTTTTATATTTTCAAATAAAAAAAGAAGATTTAGCATGTTAGTATATGACATAAATTAGGATTGATTGACGCATTCAATTGTTTTGGTCACTTCCTGTTTCACCGGAAATGACTATAACTTTTAATTATTAAACGGCACCCTCGGTATATTTCTACTTTATTCGATAGAAAATGACACTCTGAATAGAATGACATATAATATGTCAACTTTTGACATTTTCGCATATGGTTTAATTGTAATTGTAACACGCGGTTCATAACAACAATTTGACTCGAAATACCAAGTGTGTGGTATCAATATATTCATAAAAAAATGCTTTTTCCAAATATACTAATGAGTCACCCTTGTTTCATTTGAAAAAATTGACATATGTATGATTAAAAATACGATTTGTACATCTTTTAACCGACCTAGACAAGACACGAAACCTATTAGACGATCAAAACTATTTTTCCAAGGCTCCTTTATTAAAACTTAGTGTTTTTAACAACACCATGGCACCCTGGATTGAAATTTAAAATAGGATATGTTTTTAAGCGACAATGTCAAAAGTTGACATATGATATGTCATTCTATTCAGAGTGTCATTTTTTATCGAATAAAGTAGCAATATACCGAGGGTGTCTTTAAAAATCAAAAGATGTAATCATTTCGGCGAAACAGGAAGAGACCAAAACAATTGAATACGTCCAATAAATCTAATTTATGTCATATACCTACTAACATACAAATCTGTTTTTTTTTATCTGAAAAAATAAAAAAGTTATAGGGGTGAGCCACTTTTGAGACGACCCGGTATATTAAAAAATATTGTTTCATAATGTAATATCATTTTAAAATTCTTTTATGTTATTTTAGATTCTGAAGATAATTTTAGAATAAACCGGAATATATTTTTAATAAAAACATTATTAATTATTAACAGGGTTATAATTATGATTTTGTTACAATGTAAGTAAGTAAATAATGTAATGTAAGAGAAAAAATTCAGATTATACATTTTACTAAAATATTATCTAAATAAGCGCCTTTCTACAACAACGCCACTGACTCCCAATGGGTAAATTGAGAGTTGCCTACCGGTCAAAAGTCGTTTCAAGACTTAAATGGATTATTTAAGTCAAATTTCTTGCAAATTTGGCACTGGCGAACCATATTATATATTTTTTGAACAGAAAAAGTCAATAAAATAAACACTTAAGGACTAATAGCTAAGAAAATGCGTTAATACAGCCGGGGAGATAGCGGCAACAAAGCTTTACCGCACACGTGCGACACGTACTGCAAGGTAATAAATGAATGAATAGGCTTCCTCGCCTCTAATCGGTGTTGTCATATTGTAAATAACTTATCCTTATTAAACAGTATCCCACTTATAATTTAGTAGTATAAGGACTATTTAATACATCTATGGAATATTAAAACCTACTTTATTAAACTGCAGTATTAATATCTCAATATATGTGTATAACAAGAAAAAAAATATTGATAATATTAAAGACGTGACAACATAGGCTGGATGAGGAAGGCTCGGTCGACTGTACCCAGAAGTAAACATGTGTACAAAAAAGATTGTTTGTCCGCGTTGAGATGTAAATAGTGTAGTCTATATTTTATTTTAAGTCTATGCCCAGAACCGTTCTGCTTCCCAAGCGGAAACCAACTTAAAGCGGAACTGAAGAACCTGGAAAACTCCATCAGTAACCTGAAATGGGAATTCTCGGGAACTAGTCATCAAGACACTCCAAGAAATTTCTCAGGACTTACGACCGAGAAAAATCAAAAATTTTCCTTGATTTAAGTAAGAACAATATTCAGATTGTTACGGGATTTTTTAACAAGACACTGTCTCCTCAATGATCATTTCAGTAGATTGAAGTTTTCCATTTCACTAGTGAAATTAAAAATATGGGTTTCCATTTGAAAAAAAATGTATGTCAATATTATATGACATTCGAACAATTTAATTTTTGAAATAGATTGTCACATGCCTTCTCTTTATTTTAGGCTATAGAGATTTGGTTGGTCCAAAAATTTTAAATGTTTTTTTTCTCAAAAACGGCTAATGTTAGGTATAGAGTGTTTAATATCAAAATTCATACGCAGAGAATGTCCTCTATATTTTGTAAAACTATTAGAAAAAGAAATCTGAAACGAGGAATATAATATAGACCGTGGAACAGTAGATCGGCCCTATAAAATATACTAAGGAAAATTATTTTTCACATTTTCCTGTAACATTTATAACAAACCAGTTGCAGTTTTTACACTATAAACTGTAAATACAAACGTTGACAGTGGAATTCCGCAGGTATCGAATTTATATCCTAGGAACGGTTTTGCTGACAATAAGTGAAATTGCAGCAAGGTGCTTATATCACTTTTTTAATTTAATTTTAAATTAGCACGTACATTGGGCATGGTTTACTTATACAAGGCTTATATGTATATAAATTATTTTGTATTTAGGACTGTATAATCATAAATTAAGATATAATCCATTAAACTGTATATTTATTTTGTTTAACTTAATTTTAATTGACTTACGATATTGCTTTTGATAGAGACCGGTAACTAGGATCTGAGACTAATATACCGTATGATCGAATAAAAACGGCGTCAACGATGGCTATGAAATGAAGATCGCTGTCATTTTATATGTAAAATTATATGGGAAATGTCATCGATCTTCATTTCCAAGCCAACTGGACGCCGTTTTTTTTCGATCATACGGTATATCTAATGTGGGATTCAAATTTTCTGGAAAGGAAACTACATGTAGCACAAAGCTCAAAAAAAAACGAAATAAAATGGGTGCTTCGATTTAAAAATCAATTTTTATAGTTTTCATAATATTTTATAGTAGTAGTGATTTAAGTAGAGTAAGACATTTTCAATATATAGTTGGTGTAGGAACCGTGTTACAAGAGCAAAATAAAACACTATAATAGTTCACCACAATACATACCATAACATTTTCCTTTTAACACAAGCTTTAGGGGAGGGGTAATGCGTATAATTATCCGCCCTCCCCCAAACCGCTCAAACTTCAAAAAAATTTAAGATGTAAAAAATAGTTTTTTGCATGAAACAAATATTTTTTACGCGTAAAAAATTGTTTTTTTTTGTGTAACAAATAGTTTTACATGCAAACATGTTTTTTACACGCAAAAAGCAATTTTTTTCGTGTAAAAACTATTAGTTGGTGAATTTCTCCACCATTCTCGTGACTCTTTTTGCTATGCGACAGAAAGGTTCTAGGCCTATGAATGTGCTTAATGAACCTTATTTGGCCATTTCATATGTTCTTTGGTGTTGCAAGATCGTAACAAAACACTAGCTCACCCAAGAATATCATTACATCTGCAAGATCAAGACCGACCAGCGCAAGACCAAAACCAAGACCCAGCGTGCAAAACTCTTTCGGTCTTGCATTTGAACATACACGTATCACAATATGACAATGAGGTGGACAAAAGTTTGATATTTTATAAAATGTAACAAAATAAGATAAATTTCTACACGGAAACTATCCTTTTCAAAGTAAAAAGATAACTTAATCTTCATTTAATATAGAAATATGTCTAGCAGTCCACACCTAATTACGTGCCGACTATTAAAGCAGAAATGGAATAAGTAGAAAACCAATATAAATTATTCCTTTAAAAAGGCTTCGATGCAGGTAGGTATTCGCCAATAGCAATGATTTAATGGCTGAGATAGGAGCAGGGTTGGGTACGATTTCCGGCATGGGTAAAAAAATCGTCTGATATCGGCAGACGTACAGAGTCTGTTTCTATTCATTGCATTATATTTACTACCCAATAGTATGTCTACCTCACTATAATATACATATGATAAATGTAGAAAATATGTATGGGTGTTGGGTGTTTTTTTACCTTAACTTTAAAACACCCTGTGCAATAATTTCGTGAGCAAATTTTCCTAAAACGTTAATTTTCGGTCAGAACCACGTCTCCTGAGAGTTAATTAACTGTTAATTTTTAAGAGCGAAATGAACTTGTCACCAATGTAGTCTGCAATTTTTTCATTATGATTACGCTTTGATGTTATTGTTCAATATGACGATGTGGTGACTATTCTCGTAATGTCATATTGCACTGTATTGGATACTCTATATTAAATTAAAAAAAAACGTTAAATAGTAACGATACAGTCCTGGTTTTAATAAACATTAATAACGATAGCAGAACGAACAATATTAAAAACTTACATAAATACCCTAATACTTTGTATTGCCTCCCTTGACTGCTATAACTGTCTGTAGACCTCTGTTCATACTGTCAATGGGGCAGCATATATCTTATTGAGTTTTGATTTCCCATTCTCCTTTAAGGTTCAAACGAAGTTCATTTACCTAATGAAGCTTCGCGCCCCTAAATTTCCTGACAAGCATTTCCCAAACGTGTTCTATAGATAGGGTTTAGATCTTTCGAACATGCTGAGTTCATAGTAGTATTCTAGTTCACAATAATTACAGTGGAAAGTTCATAGTAGTATCTAGTTCACAATAATCACCAAAGCCAACTTCTCATATTGAAAAACATCATCAAATAGAAATGATAATTGAAAAGATTGCAAATTGTTGGTAGCAAGTTCAATTAACCAAGGCATGTATTGACATGAAACACGAATTGAAGTTCATATTTTTATGTACAGTTTACCATAACATCCTTATCTATACTCAGTGGTTTTTAAAATATGAGCAATTTTAGCCTAAATTTTCATGCGCATTTAAAGTTTCCTTATATTTTTAATTGATTTTTTTTTAATTTAATCATTCTATTTTTCCAGGTTCATGGTATTATGTATAGGGACAACAACGATACATGGGGTAAGTACCTAAAACCCTATTATTATATTCCAAGAGCCTTCCAAGTCAATAGTTAGTTGGGTGATATACAGGGTGAGTCTTAAATAAGTGCAAATATTTTTAGGGCTGGTAGATACCGATAAAATAATCATTTTTTCTCTTTACCGTTTTTGAAATAAATCCAAAATAACCGAGTTGTTTTACTTTCCAAAAAAAAAGTTTATTTGCTAAAATTCTGAGAACCAGTGGATCTTTTCTGGATTTTTTTTTGTATATTTAGTACTATCTATGTTGCCATATTAACAAGGAATCATGTTTTTTAACTGAAAACTAAAAAATTTCCAAAAAAATTTTCAAAAAATTCCAAACAGAAAAAAAAAACTCAATCGTGTTTCTGGAGTCGAAATAGACCAGCCCTAAAAATATTTGCACTCTATCTATAAGATTCAACCTGTATGCTTCATTGGACGTAAAAACACATAAAATAATTAACAAATTTGATAAAATTATTCATATTAAAGGCTACTTTGACTTTGAGAAAAGAACAAGCAGGCTTCAGGCCTCAAAGATCATGTATCGACCAAATTAATACTCTCAGAATAATAATAGAGCAATCTCAAGAGTTCAGATCGCCATTATACATGGTGTTCGTGGATTTTCAAAGAGCATTCGATACTATAAAACACATAGCCATCTGGAAAGCTTTGAGAGAAAAAGGAATACCCGAAAAAATAATCCGCATGATTAAAATGCTTTGTCATGATGCTACAAGCTGTGTATTACATAAAGGTTAAGTGGGGGAGAAAATTTCTATTGCAGTAGGTGTAAAACAGGGCTGTATACTTTCGCCGCTACTCTTTCTTTTTCTACATCGTTCTGGATGTAGCACTAAATAGAGCATTTAAAGAACCACTAGGGATACAATGGGGACTCTTAAGCAGGCTAGAAGACCTGGATTACGCAGACGATCTATGCATCTTTTCCCATTCACATTCGGATATGTCTCAAAAACTTCTTAGACTCCAAGAGGAAGCTAATAATGTCGGTCTGCAAATCAACGTGGCGAAAACCAAAGAAATGAGGTCAAATACTCCCAACAACCAAGATCTATACCTCTCCAACCGAGCCATCGAAAGAGTTGATGAATTTCAGTACCTGGGAAGTATGGTTCACAGCGATGGGGGCACAGAGAAAGATATAGAGGCACAAAGAGCTTTTGGCATGCTTACACCTGTGTGGAACTCCTCTATATATAGCAAAAAAACTGAAGTCCAGCTCTTCAATAGCAATGTCAAATCTATTTTGCTTTATGGATGCGAAACATGGAAGGTTACGCGTGGTCTCATGGATCGCCTACAGGTGCTTGTTAACAAGTGTCTTCGAAGAATATTGAGAATTTTCTGGCCCAATCAAATTAACAACGAAGAACTGTGGAGAAGAACATCACAAAATCGAATAGATATCGAAATTAAGAAAAGAAAGTGGGGCTGGATTGGGCACATTTTGCGCAGATCCCACAGAGATATCGCCAGACAGGCACTTGAATGGAATCCACAGGGAAGACGTGCCAGGGGAAGACCAAGGAATACCTGGAGAAGAACAGTAACCTCTGAAGCCCAAGAGGTTGGGAAAACATGGGGAGAGATCAAACAGACAGCTCAGAATAGGATCAGATGGAAACATCTCTTAGAAGCCCTATGTCCCACGAAGGGATGAACGTATATATATATATATATATATATATATATATATATATATATATATATATATATATATATATATATATATATATATATATATATATATATATATATATATATATATAAAGGCTACTAACTTTAAAATTGTCAAATAAAATCCAATAAAGGCTTTAAATTATACATACTCATCAATGATAAGACAAAAATCTATATTAAACGTGATTTTAGTTAATGCACAAGGTATATCTCAATCTTTTCAGTAAACATTTAGTGTTTCATTAGGGGATTTAGAACATAAAAATAGTGTAAATCTGTTACAATAATGTAACCTATATGTTTATAAACACAATAATCTTTTACATTTTCTGCACTGCAACTAAATATAATTTATGTTTGTCTTACTTAATAAAGCATACACTTCCATCTCAGATAATGAAACGAAAAAAGGAAATGTGTTGACATAGATAAATTTTTATGTCAGCGCATTAAACTGTATTTAATAAAATACATGTCAGCTGCACTTTCTGTCGTTTCTATTCAAACAGACTGAAAACAGTAAATGTTGCATACGGACGAAAAATTTTTATTTTAATATTCGGATATCCGAGAATAGTAATGTCATCAACACAATTTATTTAACCTATTTTTGTTAGGTGCATAGTGTATGCAAGTAAAGCATAAAACATTTTTATTGGTTTTAAATACAAATTCTTTAAATTAAAGTATGCGAGGCAAGTTCTTGTACCTTTCGGTTGTAAAATAAAAAAAAGCATTTTTTTAGTTTAATGTCTATTTTTGCTGTCAGTGCTAATCTGGACAGGGCCTACTTTTAAATAAGTATGTATTTTCTGTCGTTTTTTGAATGTCATCTGTCGTTTCATCAATAAAATTTAGCATGTAATAATTCCAGAACGAAACTGTGTAGCAACTAATAAAATGTTTAAGCTGTTCTGTTATATTAAAAATGGATAATGCATTTCTGATATTAATTGTAACGTGTGCAGTACAAATCTTAGTACCTACTCCTCACAAAGGGCACAGGACTCTAAAGTAGTTAGTTAAAATGAGATTAAGACTAAGTTTTCTAATATATGATATATTTTCTTACATTTTAAAAAATGGATTTGATCATTATTTATTTTTTCTAATTTGAAAATCTACAGGGTCCGGCAATAGTGCGTCGGGCATCTGTAGCTCCTAGAATAAAAACTTGGGTATTTTGTTTAAGTGCAAACCTAAAGTATGTACTAGGATGTATTTTTTGAAAATATTTTAAATTCTATAGTGGCTAAAAAAAGTGTGAGTAGATCGGGATGTTTTTTTTTAATGGAACACCCTGTATATTATTGGATTTTTGGCTTGTTTTCAAATCACTTGATAAATCCTAAGATATGAGTAAATATATTTCGATAGTTTCAGAGATATTAATAAATAAATAAAACATATATTTTTCAACCTTTCTTAAAAACAATATCAAAATACAAGAACTGTCCTGAAATGAAAACTCTTTTAGGTATTTACTATAGATGGTGTATACTTACTTTACTATAAATATGGTAATCATAAATAGTACACGATGATCAAAATTCTACGCCAAACTTTCTAAAATATAAAATAAATTTTCTTGATTTTTTTTTAAATGGGACACTCTATATAATATTTTTTTAAAAAGTTGGGGAATTAAAAAATGAACATTTTTTGTATTTAGAGTACCTACGTATTTCAAAATCTTGCTGGACCCTGTACAGGGTGGGTCAAATTCGACGCTTTTAAATGGAAACACCCTTTTCTATAGGAGATAGACGAAAACTAATATCGGTGTCTGGAGCTCAATTTTCATCAAAAACATGATGGTGAAAACCTCACATCAATATCTGTTACCGTTTCGGAGTTACGGGGTGTTTTTCAAAAATGTGCATTTTTAACAAATCCCTGTAACTTTTTTGCTAAGGAATATTTTGTATTTCTATGAAAACATTTCCAAGCCACCTTTTTACGTAGAATTTAATGGTTTAAGTATATTTTTTTTAAATTAATAATTTAAGAGTTATCAACAGAAAAAATAATTTTTTATTTGGGACACCCTCTATATTTTTAATTAACTGAAAATAATTTAAAATTACCTTTCCAAAAATATAGCACACTTGATATTTTGTTATAATCCCCTTCGAAATACAGAATTTTTTAAAGTTCGCAACTTTTAACTAATAGGCTTTGGACCCCTTATTGATGATATACCCTTAATAGAACTTGAAAACATATTTTTGCACCAAGACGACGCACCGCCTCTGAACGCTGAAGTTATCAGCAAATTTTTGCAGCCAATTTCAAGAATAATTGAATAGTTAACCAAGATCCCAGCCGTTGGCCGTCGAGGTCGCCTGACTTAGTGCCCATGGATCTAATCCTATGGATATATTTACTGAAAAATAAAGGTTCTTTTTTCTTCCGTATAATCTAGACAAGAATTAGAAATACTTAGCAGTTATGAGAGAGTATCTTTCACCCCTCCTGAGTTAATGAATTTCGCGAGAAATGTTCAAGAACTGCCCCGTCTGTGCATAACAGAAGACGGTCGATATGTCGAACACCTGCAGGAAAATCTCATGTCTTGGTTTGCTATTTATTTTTATTGTTATTAGATATAGTTTAAATGTGTTGATGTTGGTTAAATATATTTTAAATTGTTATAAAATTCTGTATCTCTCATAGCAAATATTATTTTCCTTTTAATTGATGCTCACAGCTAGAATTTTTTTGCATTAGTGTACGTTTATGTTGGAGCTGCGATAAACGATACAGGCAGTGAATTAGCGCTGCTCTTATCGTTGCTCAACTGCCAACCGTGTATCGACGCGTTGCTCCAATATAAACACCTACATATAAATTAATAATATTCTTTGCTTCGCTACTATCGCTGCTCTTATCGTTTATCGCCGCTCCAACATAAACGCACCCTTACAGCCGGTGCCGTTCAAAGCCTACTTATTTAAAGGGGGCGAATTTTTATATACTCTATATCCCGAAGACGAATCGAGCAAAATATCAAGTGTGTTATATTTTTGGAAAGGTAATTTTAAATTCTTTTCAATAAATTAAAAATTTACAGGGTGTCCCATATAAAAAATCAAATTTTCTGTTGATAACTCTTAAATTAATACTTTTAAAAAATTTTTACTTAAACCATTAAATTCTACGTAAAAAGGTGCTTTGAAAATGTTTTCATAAAAATACAAAATTTTCCATAGCAAAAAAGTTACAGCGATTTGTTAAAAATGCATATTTTTGAAAAACACCCCGTAACTCCGAAACGGTAACAGA